AAACTACCTGTATCCTATGGGATGTAACGCAAGTTATCTCTAAGAATAGGAATAAATCTAGTCAATTTTGGCCTTGCAGGGAAATTCAGATTCAGAATCAAGGTTGGTGGCTCAAGTCACCTCCCGCTACAGCCCCTGCAATGCAGGTGAGCACTGATACAATTCGTGTCAGATTAGGGAACGCCGTTCCTTACTACTCCACCTGACATGTAGGCACCAACCAAGCATGGAAATACCAAGAAATATCAAGAGAGACATTCAGTTATCTCAGTACTTGTTGTGCAGGGCAGAAGAGGTCTTTCTAGGTCTAGCTGCTTTCTGTTTAAATCCTTGTTTGGCTTGAGGCATGTGTATACACAGCTTTCATTTCCTCTCCTCTTTCCCCACGCTCTCACTCTCTCACATACACAAATTACTCTGGAACGGGGCTGCCTGGCACTCCTCAGAGTTATTTTCTGACTATAACATGCATCTCTCCGCTATGAAAAAAGAAGTGACTGGAGTCAGACTTTTCCCAGCAGTTCTCCTCCAGTGCCAGCCAGTCCCTCTGTACCGCTGCTGGCCTTGGAGTGTGGGTTGGACGTACCCAAGTGATGTTGACAGTGCCCTCCTCAGGTGCCATTAATGGTGGAGTTACAGCAGCAGAGCTTAGCAAGAGCTACAAAACCCAGCCTGCGAAGCTGGGTGAATACTTCAGTGGTGAGTCCTTACCCGGAACTCTGCGCTGCCCTGGCTGCGCTGACAGGCGCACCCAAGCTGGGGAGTATAAAGTTAACTCTGCTCAGTCGGCACAGCCTGCAGGGTAGATTGATTGCAGTGTAGACGCATCCCAAATTTCTAAGCCTGCCGGTCAGCCTCAGGACTCTCCACTGATATATCCCCAGGGGAAATCTGAAAAAATAACTGATTCTATAAAAGTAGCCTATCAGCTTTAACTTTCACAACGCTTTTTCCTCCAGTTTATGCTGGTAAAACACGCAAGCTCTCCCCCCGCAGCTATCACAACGGTCTCGCCCCTTCAAGACCTGCGGCTGCCGAGGCAGAGGTGCAGATTTATAGTGCTGGGTTTTGCAGAGTATAATGCTGAGCCTCAGGGATCAAGGGTTATGACATTTTTATGGCCTCTCCCCCCCCCCCCATATGAATATGAAGCAACCGTAAGGAAAAACATCTGGTTTCACTTTTCTTTTCTTCACCACTGTTCCCATCTGACAAAACCTTAAAAACTTGCCAGTGTGCTAGTGAACTGCGTGTGCCAACAGCCTGCGAGGAGCCAACGCTTTTTTGGTGTCATCACAGTGAGAGTACGCTACCCTGGAAGGAGCGGCTCCATCATTGCTAGAAGGCAAGAATACCCCGACTTTGTCCCGCTAACAGCTGCGCTGGCAACCCTCCGCCATCTCTAGAGCAGGCTGAAGGATTTCTAAAAGGCTGCCCTCCATCTTGATCTCATTACAGAGCTGCATCTCCAGAGGAAAACGTGGGCCACTGCGGAGAACGCTGTGAGGGGAAGCAACCCTTACTAAGCACAGGGAAAGCACACTGCAAGGAGAAGTCCTGCCTCCCCGCTCACCTCAGGTTTCATTTGACCTGGCCGCTCCTCAGAGGGATTCTGTGCTGCCATAAAAAGAGGCTTGCTTTCTTTCTGAAAGCTGGCATGCTAAGTAAGGTTTGGGCCGTAGCTTCTCCTCGGTGCTGGGGGCTAATCTGGACCAGAAAAAGAGAGACATGCCCGAAAATCCAGGCACAGCTCCTTGACTCTCAGGGCTGGTCTGCATCACGCCTGGTTCCAGGCCTGATGAACACTACCAAGCAAGAAAAGAAATTTAAAAGACTACAAACTCCAAGGCTGATCTGGCAAAGGTGGCTGAGTTCCTGCTTTCCACAGCTAGAAGCCAGGTAGTGCTGACACAGCATAATCAGTTCCCTTCGGATATTTTTTTTATCAGAGGAAAGACAAAATTAAACTGTTTCAAGGAATCGAAAGTATTTCTCCCTTATCTGAAGGAGGGGATGGTATATATGTGACAGGCAAAGGGCAGAGTTGCAGCTCTGGAAACCTCCAGAAATAATCTCACATCTCACTTGCCCACTTCAGAGTTCATATCTGGGGGGGATACCCCCAAAGGAAACCAGGTGGACCACATGGATACCTCTAATAAAAGACGAACAACCTCAAAATAGCACAATGTGCTGACCATCAGGGATGTGCTGTTGAATACCATCAGCTGCTACGGAAGCCCCTGAGATGTGAGGGTGCTTAGCAGAGCTGAGATGCCAGGACTGCATGACAATAAAGATTGTATCTTAAGCATTAGAAACAAATCTTAACAGTGGGAAACCCAAATAATGAAGCTGGTCTCCGAGGAAGGTCTCTCAGGGACTAGAACCAAAAGTGTTCAAGGAAAAGGATTTCGAACATCAGGAAATGTGCAAAGAAAAATTCTGTTCTGTGCTGTGGGCTGCAAGAGAGGACCCAGGGTATTGTTTTCCAGTTTTTTTCTCTCTTTTTGACTGCCCTTCTTGACTATGCCAATAAAAAAACACCACTCCCTCCTCTTATTCTTTTTCTTTGTTTACTTAACTTTTTTCCTCATAGCAACTGCATAAAGCTGAATCCATCTGATATTTCCAAGTAACCAAGACCATTATTCACTGAAGGCACTGGCCTGGATCCTAATTGCTGCTGGTCTCATACTCAACGCAAGAGTAGCAAACAGCTGTAAATATCTCAGTACAGTACTCCACTCATGTCAGGCTGACCCTAATTCTTCTAAGTCCCCTGGAGTACAAATAAAACTTCACCAACATTGTGCCAGAGAAAATAGGTGTGCTAGGTAGACTTTGGAAGGAAAAACAGCAGCATGAAAGTGGACAAGGTAGAGATATTGTTTTATTCGGTTTTCTGAGGCACAAGAAGGGCAGGCAGGTGAAAGGTGTCAACAGCCGCTGGTATCTACAGGCTATGTGATGCTGTGAAGAGACCTTACAGCCAAGTGAGACTATGGCAATAAGGACTTTCCAGATCATGTCCCTGTGCCCTGAGTGTGTTTGTCAAGAAGCCTGGAACATCTCCCTTTTCACATCATCTTCCAAATGTTTGTTCCAGACGTGCTGCTATTCTGGCATTATGTGCTTTGTTCACCCTATTTCCCCCTCTTCACACAAAGAGCCTGTGTTTCATACAGACCTTTCTTCAAGGCTAAAGAGCATCATAATTATCAGGTAACAACACTGCATTGTGCGGGTGACGAGGTCAGTGTAAAAAGTGTAAAACCCTTAAGGAGGAGGGTGACTTCTAGGCTCTCTGTGCTTTGCTTCTCTCCTTGCCAAAGTCAGAGAGGAAAAAAGGACAGGACAGCAAAACACATGGTGAAGCAGGAAGCATGGCGCTGTTGTTTGTAATCTACTGCACTGCTACAACCAGAGGAATTCAAAGAAAGAAATCACAGTGCAAGAATCTGACTATTTCACAATCCCTCCCCTCAAAAAGATAATCACTAAAATAGCTTCCTTTTTTTCCCCTTTTCAAAGTGCAGTCCCCATCGAAGATGGGAGAAATAGAGCCCAGTTTCTTACCAGCTCCTCAGAGAGTTAGGCCCTTGTAACACTCCCTCATCTTTTATTGCCCTTATTCTTCAAATCCTGGCCCATCCCTCGGGTTTTTTTTTTTACATTGCCCTTCTGCTCTCCTGCTCATCTATCACATGGTATCTCCCTTTCCTGCTCACTTCCTCCTCTTCTCTGATCTGCTCTCTCGTTCCAGCATCCCTCGCTCGCCCCCTAAACCGCGTTAGGATATCAGCATTCCTCTGATGCCTTCAGTCCCCTCATCCCACATGGCTGGCTGGGCCCGGCCAGCAGTTCCCATCCTGGCAGCTGATCTGCAGGAGGCCCCAACCTGCCACTTCTCGCGGCTGACTCAATTTAGCAGCACAGAGGAGTCAGAGGTAACCACAGCACAACCTCTGGCAAGGGATTTCAACCCAACTGGGGGAGGCAAAGAAGGCACAGTACAAAAGTCCACTGCTGCATACCAGGAGATGGAAATCAGTGCAGCTGGTACTGTGTGTTCAGCTCTCAGCCAAAGTCCTTTCTCTCAAGGTTGTGCTGACAGACTATGAAAACAATGACTGAAAGCATAGCATGAAAGTGAGCGATGGGGAACTTTCCCCAGAAGACAGAGTCTGCAAAGAGGAAGGTTCAAGGTATTTTGTTTATAAGTCAAGCCCTTGGCAGGGACAAAGAGGGAGAATTAAAGGTGTTAATCTAGCATACACCTAATGCTTCTTGAGATGCCTGTGTATTTCTCCCACTTCTCTCATATAAGCTCTCCCTTTCGGACTCTGTTCTTAAGTGTGTGATGTTACAGAAAGACACCACAGACCTTCCCATTAGCTCCCAGTCGGGAGGTATAAAAAGGTGTATGCTGCATATTAAGGCATGTTGCAAGAAGATTTTTAACAGGAACAAATATTTACCATCATTCTGGATGGCTGCTATGCCACATTACATTCTTCTTGGCACAGCAGAGCAGACAAATATTCTTGGGAAAATAAATAGATTTCTGCCATCACAAACGGCTGACAAACACTTCAGGCCACTAAACCCTAGGTCCTCGTTTTTCCTTAGCAAGCTGGAGGCCCTACCCTGGGTAGGACTACGCACAGACCTGGCTTCTCAGGTGTCTTTGACAGGACAAAAGAGCTACAGAGTGATATAAATAATAGTTATTAGAAGGCTGCAGACACCCAGCGCAGTGAGACCTGCATGAAGGACTGCAGACACGTTCCCCTGTGTTCACTAGCTGCCTCTAAAGATCTCCCAAGATTTCTGCTGCCATTTTATTTCATCTCTTGTTTAAGTGCCACGTCTACCAGGCGAACGAATTCCCTGTGTGCTCTTAAGCCAAGTTTCATTCCAGCATGTCAAAACCGCTGCCGTACACTGCAGCATTTTTTTCCGAGTGAACTATTCCCCCACCCCCCCGCAGGTCTTACCGATGGCAGTGCGAGGTTGTATAACTATGCACTCGCCGCTTGATAATAGCAAGAACCAGGATTTCCTGGTATGCCAGAAATGGGTTGTGCCACTCCTGCCTGTGTGAAAGGGGTGGGACAGGAGGCGAAGCAGCCATCGGGTGTTACAGCTCTGGGTCCTGTCTGTGCACCTTGACATCCTGCCAGGCTATAATAAGAGAGACCTGCAGGGAGCAACATATGTCAAAGTCGGTAATTTTCCTTCCTGCCTTCGCTCCTTGAAACCGCCTCAACTGGATAAACGCCCGCCCAGTTCCTTCTTTGGAGACTCAGCGAAGCATGCACACCGCACGAACAGCTGCCAGCTCTGCTGGAAAATGTGCAGACCCAGAGATCACCTGTGACTGCGCAGCCTTGGCGTGAGCTGTTCTGCACGTCTGCAGCCTGACAGCAGGGCTGCGGCTTCCCGAGGCGGCGGCGGTGGCGGCAGCTGACCGCGGCCCGGCCCGGCCCCTCTCAACCCGCAGCTGGGGGCGCCTCCGAAAACGCGCCTCCTCCCAGCAGGGAGGGTGACCCCAGCTCCTCCAGAGCCCGCCTGAACCTTCCCTCATTTCGAAGCCAAACCGTGCTAATAACCCCTCCTCTCCCCTGCCCTCCCCTCCCCCCAGCAATTTCCAGCTTCCCTGGGCAGCCGCCGTGTCAGCCCACACCTGGAAAGGGCATTCTTGGATCATCTGCAGCTGGATCTGAGCCAGATGCTCGAAGGGCTTGAAAGCGCCCTTGCGCCAGCCTTTTTCCACGCACCCTGAGCGCTCCGCACGCGCGCAGGGACTGAGGGTGACTTCGGCTTGCCCCAACGCATGCCCCTGTGCCATGGCAATTACTCAGCTGGGATGCAGCCCTAGAAATGGGGAGCTGGACTCGGCGAACTAACTTGTGCCGTTTTCTGTGGCGTGCCCAAATCTGGCCCCGCAAGCAGAATTGCCAAATGCTGTGCAAAAGAGCCCAGCCTCTTGAGTTTTACAGCGGTTTAGATAACTTGTACAGCATCCAGCTTTTTAACTGCTTCTATGTACGAAACTCAGATGCCACATCATTCGAGGCTGTCCCATCCCTAGTCAGGGCCAAGCTGGCTCAGGATTTTGTGTAAGGGAAACCGATAAACTCGCCCGGCCAGAGCTGCCATTTCCTCCATCTCTGAGCTTCCTGAGTTGCCAAAGCAGCTCTGCTTCGCTGGCCCTCCTTCCTCCCCCTCCTCCCCCGGCTCTCTGTGCTGCTGCCTCCTCTCCAGCTACTCACAAATGCATGTGTCCCACTTTACACTTCCTAAGCCCCGGCGTGAATATGGGATTTGCAGGCAGTCTACTCATGTGACATGAATTCCAGGGAAAACAGCAGCATCGGTGTCGTTATCGAGTTACGAGTTTCACTGAATTGCCCACATTAAATGCAGCCGGGCTCCCAGCAGCGCCTGGCGCAGGAAGGCTTTCCGAGCTGGGAGGGGATAGCCCGGCAGCTTGTTTGACAAGAGCAAGAAAGACCACATAACTCACCCCCAGCTAATTCAGCTAATTCATTTCTAAACGCCGTATCGAGGCAGGCATGTCGTGAACGGAGAAGTGCAAACTCGCAGAGACCTAGAGGGAGCTCAGGGCTGCGTATTCCCCCGTTCCTCTGCCTGCCTCTCAGTTGTCTGCGTAAATGATTCAGAAAATGTGGTTTAATCAGACTCAGCTCCTGCCATCTGTAAAGTGAGACGCTATAGGGACTGGGTATTGTAACGTATTGCATAATAGAAATGCCTTTCATTAAGTGTACTTTGTGCAACACGTCCCATTGCCATCATTTACAGGGATCAGAGCGAGGTTTTAAGGCTCCTTTTCTCTTTGGGGCGTAGTGACTCACTGCGGCGGACGAGCAGGCCACGCAGACCCCCGCACCCCCCAACCCTGACTCAGAGGCTTTTGATTATAGGGACACGTTTGAGATGCCAGACAAGTGCTCTTCCAGGAACTCCCTCCTCTCACTGCCCTGCCAGTATCTTTGCTAATAGATGTTTTGTACTGTCTCAGATGAGGCAGAAAGGATGGAAATTCAGGGAACTTCTGGACAGTCCACAACTAAACCCAGATGTCAGATCAAAGGTACCAATCAATCAGCTTGGCCAGTGACACCCCGGCACATAAAGATGTGATGACATAATTCCATCCTCTCTCATGCCAGGAAGTTTTAACAGTAAAACCAAAACGCACCCTGGTAGTTTGTGCAGATGAGCGTTTTCCAAGATGTCTGACGACTCTGACCGGGCCCTCCCGACAGGGTGCACGAGAGGCATCGTTTTACAAACCTTTCAGATGATGTGCCTTGCACTTTTTGAAGCTGTAACATGTTCATCTGTTGTAGTGAGAATGCAACCCAATTTCCTGAAAATGCACCCGGCACTGCTCCCCCATCCACCTGGCTGCATCAGAAACCATGTGAGTTGGCACAGGGAAGCCCAGGCACCCGGATGGCGCAGAGCCACCCGGCTGCAATGCTGCCGAGTGAACCCATGACCCTAACAGATGCAACCCCTGCTCCCACGTCCCCGTGGGTTTCAGTGTGTCGCCCAGGCTACCACTACCAAAATACCCAGTCCGGTTGTATGGGGATGAACTGGTCACGCACAAGCATCAGCGTTTGGAAAGTGACTCAGAGAGTCAGCTGTAGACATTAATGAAATGCATTAAAAACAAAAAAAAAAAAAAGAGGAAGAGTAGACATCAAAGTGACCAACAGAGGACTCAGAAACCAATGGATTTCGCACTTGGTTGATTGTTAGAATTAATTACATGGAAGGAGCTGTGAGCGTGTTTGTACCACACTGCTCCGCCTGCACAGATGGAAGCTCAAGAGCTAGCGAGGCTGCAGGACTCAGATGTTACAGAGGATCCAGTTGCACCACACGTTTCCACCTCTTGCTCAAGCTCCCCCAGGTGAGTGCCTGGGTTTGGTTCCTGCGGTACTGCGCCATGTGCTCAAATTCATCAGGGACAGGCATGTTTGTGCCTGCTACCACCCTCCTGCCTTTGCTTCCCCGCAGGGAAGCGGGGAGGAAGAAGAGAAATTGTTGGGTTTGCATTTCACAACTGTCTGCATAATCCACTTTTCTGCTCACATCCCATTGCTCAGCCCCTCTCAAGCTGCAGCATGGGAAGCGAGAGGGAGTGTTTACACAGTTCATTAGCCTCTCTGCAGTCACTATAGCAACCGCGGAGGGTCAGTTTATAGTAGGAGAGGAAGTTCACTTTTGGGGAGTTCAGCTTTCCAACTCCAGCATCGAGCATGGCTGAAAAACAAAAGGCCAGACGGTGGGAGGAAACACATTTAAAGAAGTTTCCTATGTGCAAAACCACCCAAGCTTTCTAAATCACCGGGAGATGCTACATTCCTTTCGCCTCAGTCAAAGACAGGCTGCGGTACGGCTGATGCCTGTGCTGCAGCTTTATCTCCCGTCCTCTCTCAGATGCCTGAAAGCGTTTCAGAGCAGGGTAGTTATAAATCAATATAACTCAGAGCCACGCTTTCAGAAACAGTGCTGTGCTGGCGTCCTGAATTTTAGATCCACGGGGCTGATATTCAACACATATTCAGTGTACGCTCTGGATATTCAAGGGGTGGTGGCAGACCTTAACAATATCTCTCAGGGCTGGAAGAAATAATAGGCACAATTCTTTCCGGTGTGGAGGGAAAACAACAGATGTTCATGTATTCAAACCTGGGTGCCCTGCGTAGGCACACAGTTTTTGAACTCATTATACCGAGACTAACCTGTGCTGCCAGTGGTACCTAGGCCAAATCTGAAATAAATGAAAAGACAAACATCTCTGAGGTGGTGCCTAGGGAAACAGCCTCTTTGCAAACACGTGCATCTTCTTCCTTGACCTAGGTGGCTTCTTGCTGTGCTATATCTCCCTACAGAAGGCAACGAAACGGCATTATCACCGCCCAAAAGCTGAAAGAATATCTGTCAACCGTTGCTGTAGCAGTGGGCTAGCGAGAGCATGGTCACCCTGGGGAACTGCATTTCCTCAGTAGCAGTAGCATAAACATAGCATCTCCCCAGCTGCAAGGGGAAACAGATCGTGCTCTGAAGTCATTTTCTCCCCAGCAGTTGCCATCAGTGAGTCTGAAGCAACAGAATAGAGAGGGCTCATTTGGGTACTGGGGCCAAGTGCTACTTTAAGAGAAGGTTCACCCCCAGCTGAACAAGTCCAACAGCTGCTGCCTCGGAGAACAGACCCAAAACTTGCTGAGCTCCCCAGCTGAGCTGACCACTGTGCACCACACTGAAGGACTTCAAAGTCACACCTGCACACGGCATTACCTGCCCTGTGTGCCACTCCATATGACATATATAAAGTATAAAGAGATCCTGTCCTCCTGCCCTGCACACAGCAGCTGTTTGAGAAGGTAGGCACCAAGGAGTTCTGTGCTCAGTCGAGGACACAGGGACAAAAATGGGCGTTCCTGCACCTGGCCGCGGCTGTGGAAAACAGAACGAAGCCATGCAGATCCCAGGGTGTTGCACTGAGTCAGGGCTGTGCATCTCAAGCCCATTTCTCCCTCTAGAATGGCAAGTTACGCCAGCTAAGGACCTCTCCAATAAAACTCCTTCTTCTGACCAGTAAGAGCTGTCTATCAAGCTAAATCAGCCACCACAGCTCTGTGTTACCAGAACTAGGTTGCTAGCTCATTTGAGACTAAGCTGGATAACTACATGCTGTATTTTAAAGTCTGATGTGCAGGCAGACCTTGTGAGAAATAACATAAAGTGGGAAAGAGTGTGTTTCCTGAAGTACCAAGTCCAGCAAAGAGGCAGCAAGCCATTGCCCAGGGGAAGGAAGAGGGGTAAGATGAGAACACGGGGAGGAGAGGCTGTGCGGCTTTCCATGTAGGAAGAAGGGGAATTGTGATATACTATGCCAAAGAGAAAGAGCCAGAAAGACACAGCAAGGCAGAATAGTGAAGAAACACAGGGTCCAAGGAGGGGAGAGGGGAAGGGGACATCACGAGGCTCTAGGCAGCAGAAGAGGAG